AATATTCAACTAAATGAGTTATTGTTATATAAAATATACTAAAACTGTAATTTGATAAATAGTAGAAATTGACATACATTAGTTGAACTTACAAATCCATGCTTGTCGGAGATGTTGTTTGTCAGCTTGAGCTTGTGGAAGTTGACTACTTTCGACATCCACTGTTCACCCGTGGCGGGGCTGTCCGGGTGGATGTACATCCTCTTTGGCATCTCGGGGTCGGCCTTCCCCGCCACCATCCAGCGGGAGTTGTGGAACTTGTACCTGCAATCGTCTGCTGCGACGATATCCATCAGGAGGATATATTTGGCCTTCTTGTCCAGACCTGTGCACCTCACTTTGAACGGGGGAAACATCCGCCTGGAAATGAATAAAAGTGAGGAGAAATTTAAGAACAAATCAGACCATCACAGATTTTTTATTTTTTTTTTTGTATATCAAAACAATACGATATAATTATTTTTTTGGGGATATTATGTGTTCTTTTCAAGTCCCACCTCAATTCATCTACATAAAAAAGTGCAGTCCTGCTATAGCTACCTGTGATCATTTCTGCACAAAAGACAACGTACCCACAACAAAAAGAGAGCAGATAAATTCTGAAAGAGCAGAGCTTTGATTTGTAACTACCTCTCAAGGCCTTCACACGAAAAAAAAACAGACTTTTGCATGCTGTCACGCCACGTTGACGAGGAAAATTCAGTTAAAGCTTCACGCAAAAAGGCATTTAAAAAGAGCATTGTGCCAAAAAAATTACAGGATTTTTTTTTAAAAAACGAGAGCTGAAAGTTAATGTAATTTGATACTGTAGAGGTAGAATGCATATTTTTATTTGAAATATTTGCCATTTTTATTCAAGTTCTAAGGGTGCAAACTAGAAAACTCCCATTTAATTGATCAAGTTTGTCACAGTTTTACTAAAGAGCAACATTTGGAGATTCAATTGAGTTTATCGTGCAAACATAATCTGAAGGCTGTGATTCCATTTGATTTTTTTGGGGGGTAATTCTGAAAATTTATTGTGCGATTTATGTTAAGGATAAAATAGCACAAAAAAGGATTTGATATCAGCCGCATAACATATTCTTTGTTAAATATCACAAGAAAACAAAGTTTTCAGAAAGAAAAAAAATGGTTCACCTTCCAGATTTAGTGATCACCATCTCCGTTCCTTTTTTGTGGAAAAGTTCCCAGAGCTCCTTGGCTTCCAGATGAACTTTGGGGTCGTCCTCCACTTCCTCCTCGGGCTCCAGAGTCTTCAACGGCCTCAGGTGAGCGGCTGCAGCCTGGTGCCCTAGCGAGGAAAAATGAAGGCCGGTGTCTGCGGCTCCCATCAGCTGGTCCATAATCGGCTTCCCCAGAGCGCCCGGTAGAGACAGGGAGCCGCTGGGAGGGAGCGCCAAGGCCGGGAAGAAAGGCGGCTGATGACCCAGCATTGCGCTCATGGCAAATTCCGGACCCCGGTGAGGTATAAACGGATGATATGCCATACTTGATCCCTGTATGACTGGATCTCTCATCAGGAAGTTCATCCAAGTGCAGGCAGCAGACGTAGGTGCGGGGAATTGCTAGATTTCTCAAAATATCGTACTCTGCTTGATGAAAGCAGCAAGCTGTGTCAACATCTAATGAAAAGGAAAAGAAGAAAAGAAAAGAAGCAAACAATCGGAACTCCTTTAGCACGACACCGACAAAGATCCACAGTTTGTGAGGAGTTCCTGGCAAATCTCTGCTGTCCTTTTGTTAAGTTCAGATTAAAAGTCCGAAAAGCAAAAAAGCAAAAATGATCTCCATTAATCTTCAGCAGCGCTGCAACGCCGATTTTCTCTGGAGTCGGACGCGCATCGGGACACCTCTGTGCTCCTTCTCGGACATTAAGTTCGAATCAAACCAACAGGGGTGAGTCTCTTAATTGACCGCGGCGCATTCTTTCTTCTTTCTTCCTCCGCTGCTGTTTACAATATCGGCATTCCTGTTAAAATGGGCTCCTTCTTATTGGCTTCAGTCCTACAGCGGGAGTGCGACGTGTTGAAATATTTCGATAGCGCCGAATAATCCCCCCCTCTTTGCCTTCAGTCGCTGCGGACATGCACCCTCACACACACACGCACACACACACGCTTTATTCCTGCGCTCTCCTTTGGCGCACACACTTCCAGGGGGGAAAGACTTGTGCAGAGAGACAGGAGTCCGACGGAGAGAGAGAGAGAGAGGGAGAGAGAGAAGGTAAGGTCCCAGCTCCGTGATTTTCCTAGCGCCTCTGTGGCCCATAGGGCTTCATACAGTGTGGATGTGTTGCGCCTTACAAGCACCAGCGCGCCGTTTGATTGGCTCTTTGACGCTTTCGGACCAATTGGGTGGCTGCGTGGGCGTGGTTTTGACAGGTCGGGTGGAGGGGAAAGACTTTCAGACTTATAAAAGGTGTTTGGAAACTCTGGAGAAAAAAAAAGAGGGGCTCTGTCGTGAAACGCCAGCCCCTTGGCTTGGTCGGGTGTTGTGTGAATATGTCAACATCGTTAGCTACAGAAGTTGCGCGATCGGCCGCTCTGTGAGAGCCAAGCCCGGGAGAGCGGCTCTCTGAGGCGGGGAGATGTGAACGATCCTTCATGCGGTGCTGAGTCCCATTCGCTGTCCTTTTCCCCCTTGTGCTTGAAACAACAAGAAAACATCTCTGCTTATTTGTTTTTAAAGCTTTGCTTCTCAGCAATCCCTCCTCTTAAAATAAAAAATAAATGTAAAAATATTTTTTAGTTTATTAATGAAACAGCTTCTTCTACCTTTTGTTGTTTTAAGTTGATTTCCAAATATCAAGCTTATCAGCTTGATTTTTATTCTTTAAATATGATGCTTTATGAAAAAAAAATTAGGATTAATTATTAATCTTATTAATACCCTAAGTTCTTTTTTTCTCATTCTAAATTAGCTACATTATTTTTTCGTTTTGCAGAATTTGCTGAAAATTAATGCGCAATTCCAAAACGGAGCAGAGTTCAGCAAGGATGACGTGTTTACATGTGCTTCTAGATCATCAGTTATAGATATGTCAATTTTTTTGAATCCTCAAAATCAATTGAGTGGTTAAATATAGCCTCGCTTTCCGGTTAGGACTGTCTAAGTCAGACGTTGTCATTCTGTCTGTGTCACAATCGGATGGTTGATTTTTCTCAATTTTTTTTCAGAAGTTGACCATATCTGTCACAATCAGTTTCTCATCCACTACAATATTTAATCCCATCCCCATATGGGTTACAGTCGTATCGTGCAGATGTAATAAAAATGGACGCAGCTTATTATTATTATCAGTATTTCATCCATATTATTGCGCTTCGCTGCAAGGCGCCAATGCCAGTGCTTCACTAAAATGTTATTTTGTCACAAGTTTTCGAGCAAACAGACCAGCGGCCGGTGAAGCACAGCGGATAAACATTGACCATCAATTATCAGTCTGCTGTCTGCGTTCAGGATACAGGCGTGGGTCTCAAAGTCCTCAGAGGGTGTGGAAGGTGGGTGACTGGGGCTCTTCTGGCAAAAAATATAAGCAATCATTAGACACTTATTGTTTTTTTGTTTTTGTTTTGTGTATTTAGTTTGTTTGTATTTATTTATTTACTAAATCTCTTCTCACGTTCCTGGTATAAAACGTGCGAGGAACTTGTTGCGCATAAAAAAGGAAGCCTGTATTGTTTTGAAGTTTATGGTTTGAACATGTCAGTTTGAGCCCCAGGGCTTACTTTAGACGTCAATGAAAATATAACTACAACTGAATGCAACATCAGTCGCCCCCCAAAAAGCGTTGAAGAGTGCGTTGCACTCAAGTCCTGCAGGTTTCCATTAATTTAGGTTCAGTTTGTGGAAATGTAACCCTGCCTCATTTGTCGTAGAAGAGGTGCGCGTGTGCGCGCGTGTGCGTGAGAAACGGAGCGCCTTGCATGCATGCACAGTATTCCCTTAAGGCGGTCCAGGGTGGAGTGGCAAGGGGATCTGCCTTGTGCTGTGTGCTATTGATTTGCTACAAAAAAACATAAAAAAATGCAACACTGGTGAAAAGCTGCTGCAGCATCAGACTGAATTCAAAAAACTCCCTGCAGCCAGAGAGCCAGTAAACCTCTACATAGCCCCAACTCTAACCCTTCCCTTTAGGTGAGTGAGGTCAGGGTTGTGTTAAAGAGTGGATTTTACTCTTCTTTAAACATTCGGCCCCATTAAAGGCACATTTCAATTTAGTGGAAGGTGTCATCAAATAGGAAGCTGTGTTGACACTGTCCAAGCTGGCTTCATTAGCTAAGCAAGTAGAAAATGGTCAATACACTATATAAACTTTTACAGGGTTAGGGCTCCCAGGGACTTTGGAGAGGCTATAAAAAGGTCTGAGCTGACATGACTGATTGATGAAGTAAACTTTGTCAGCGCTTCCCTTTTATACATCCACTCAGATCATGCATATCATAATCAAAGAGGAGGGGAGTGAATTTGACTGGACAGGCTCTGAAATTTCTCACTCTGTGTGTGTGGGTGATTACTGAACGTATGGAATGGGCTTGTGCTTTAAATCTGTCCTGTCTACACAGCTTGTGGCAACTATATTTGCTTGTGTACTCATATGCATCCTGGTAAAGACATTTAGGTGAAAAAGGAAAATTGTCTTCCTCTGAATCTGTTAGCTGCTGTTTTGATATTGTTTGAAGAAATTAAGAAAAAGAACTTCATGCATAGAGGTCATTGGTTGTGCGACTTTCATGCCCTGGCTGCACACAACAGCAACACTGTGTTGGTTCATTAAGCAAAGCTTCAAAGACATTCCTGGAATTGATCATGGAGCTGCAAGTGATGTAATGTATGCTGTCCTGTTTATTTGCAGATTGTTAATGATAAGCAAGGACAGACTTGGTGGCACCACTCCTGAATAGAAGAGATTGTCTGGTGAGACTCGTCAGCCCTAACAGGACGTGATAGGGAAAGGAAACATCACCAGATTAGTATATTCAGCGACTGTAATGACTCCAAACTTCGTTATGCACAACCCAATGTGAAGCGCGGGAGGGGAGGATGTTCAATTGACAACATAATGACTTTCCAAATGCAAGCCTTAAAGATGTCTGTAGACCGGCAATTGATCTGTCAGGACAATATAGACCCCAAAAACGCATACCATAAATGGCACTTTGCAGAATCAGGCCTGTTTTAGTCAATTGATTTGAGTAACAATAAACTCTTTACCTGTCTGTGAAATGTCTCTGTCAGGCATTTGTAAGTCAATTCAACCATTGCTCCCATCAATTCCTTCACTGGTCAGTTATGGCTATTGATGGAATACTATTTTAGTTAATTAGGGGATGTGCTTATTGATGGCAGTAGATTGACATGAGATGCGGGAAAAAAGGTCCTGTACTGAAAAGACATTAGCTTCGTTGTCACAGTTGTTGAGGCAGATAACAAAAATTAAACATAATAAACATGAAGGTGGTTTGCCCATTTGTTGATGATGCTTTTCATTTATGCATTGAATCGGGAGAATTTATATCAAACATGCATGTTGCCTTGAATAAATATTTAAGTCCACAGATTTCCTTTGATAAATTATAATCTAAAGCTCTAAATATTTTATTTAGAATATTTATAGAAGACCAACTTACTTAAAAAACCATAAAAGCTCTATACTGTAAAAAAATTTTCATTACTTAAAAAAAAACATGCAAACAGATTGACCATTAAAAAGTAAGTACACAAGATAAGATATAAGTTGCTCTTACTAGTGGTTTATGTACACTTATACAATAAAGTAGTATTTACTTGATAACTTACTTTATATATATATATATATTTATATATATACTCTTGACTTAGTTATGACTACAAACAATTACTATGTTAATCTGCTAAATAGTTTCATGAGAAATGTATTCTTCTTGGTACACAAACCCGTCTGGGCTGATTTTGTATTTCTAGGTAATATTTGAACAGCAATTTAATTTGCTAAAACCAAACAAACTGAGTGCACTTAAAAACTGTTATAGATCTCAAACATTTATACATTCATGAAAAACATATTTCAATCTTCCAAAATGTTCTGAATTACAATTAAAAGTAATAAGAGAAGATAGGAATAAAAAAGAGTTTTATTGATTACAAAGATTTTCTTTAATGACATTCACAAACAGCATACTGTAAATTCAACAATACAGTAAAACATTTTAAAGCTATTTCAACCAAGAACAGGATGAGTGCACTTTTGTTTTCCTAAATAATATTAAATTTAGCAATAAAAAACATACAGAATAGACAGTGTTTTTCAAGGATTTAGGGATGTACCAATGTAAAACATATCACAGTCTTAACAAGAAACAAAGTGCCTCAGGTAGGTTCCGGAGATCATTCAGCACTACAAATCTCTTCACAATGACGGCAGTAGACACAGGGTGAAGGTGGAGCAGATTTGGAATGAGTTGCAAATGTTTATGGGCGACCGTCCTGTAATGACAACTAAAACATTGCAACATGTAAATGTTTCAAATTCAGAATTTAAAATGGTTCC